TTTTTTTTTGGATGACAAATAAATATTATTTATAATTATATATGTTTTCATTGATCGCAGTCATTTTTTTTTAGCGAAAAACCTTTATCATTTTCAGCCAAATCTTAACAAATTCTTATATGCTTCAAAACCCCTCTTAACAATAAAGTCTACAGGGCTATTCATAGTTTTTATCGGTTTGTCAAAGTCAAATATTTCCGAACATTAAAAGCCAACATTTTCAATCACAGCTTGTCTCAAAGCCTTCATAGTCTGTTTACAGAAAAAATCTGAAGCACACTTCTTTATTTTTTTTTTTTTTTGTTGTGTTTTTTGGTACTTAATTTTACTGAAGAAATGCAAAATTGTTCAAGCATCTGTTTGACTTCAGAAATTATTTGAGCTTCCTTGATTTGTCAAAAATTTTTACCGGAAGTTAGAACCAAAAAAAAATATATTCCTATGTCATTTTTTCAAAACTTATGATTTCTTACTGGTTTATACTTTGGCCATATCACAGTGGCGTTGCTGTTGTCAATATAATGATAAATATACAAAAAGCGAAGAATAAATAATTGACACTCGGTACAATCTGGGAGCTTTTCAAACTCTACCTTACTAAACGATTAATATTTGGGATAAAAATGCATAAAATTGTTTAATTATTTTCAATTTAAAAAAAAAGCTGTAAAAAAATTTATGAAAAAAGAAATTTACGTTTTTTTGGTGTTACTGTGGTTAATTCGGTTTCCTTATCAGTTGTAACTGTAGATGTTAGGCTAACTGTTGTGGGTTCCGGAGCTTCTGTGTTGCTTTCTGTAACTGATGTTGTATCAGTTGATGTTTCGATGCCATTTGTGTAATCTGATGTTGAAGTAGAAGAAACAGTTGTTGTCAATGCTTCAGTTGTTGCTGCAGTTGCAGTTGATTCTGACGATTTTGTGGTTTTTGCAGTTGTCGTTGATTGTGATGTCGACGATACTGTTGATGCTGTTGTAGTTTTTGGTTTGGTTGTACTAGTTGTTTCTGGTATTGATGGTGTTATACTGGTTTTAACTGCAAATTCTCCACACTGATAAAGTTTATTAATTTTTTGAGCATCAATTTTACTCAGCTTATAACGTTGTCCAATTTCAGCACTTCGATCCTGAAATCAATAGTATCATTTCACGACAAAACCTACTGTACAGTTTATATTGTTTTCATTAGTCAGTAACTGTAGGCAAAGATCGGCAACTGAGATCTGTTATCTTCCTTCCATTTGAATGGCAGAGAAGATTTTATTGGTTTTAATAATCAAAGCAACAAAAAAATGAGATAATGTACGGTCTTAAGCATTGTCGAGACTATTTAGAGAAATTATTTATTTTTAAAGTTAATAAATTGTTCAAACGACTCTTACACGTGGAACAATAGTAGCCTTTCCATTTTTTGAGAAAGCCAGTTTATGGTAATGCATAACCGAATCGTAATCGTATGGCATACCCAAAGGATCAATGATTTTTTTTGGATATTTTTCAAAATTTCTTAACATGCCTGGAATACAGACAAATTTCTTTAGTAAATCATTGTAAAATTGACCCCCAAATCATTTGATATCATTCAGTTACAAGTAATAAAATCAATAAATCATCACCGCAACAGCTAACAACTGTTATCGTTTACCTGGCCTAATGTTCTCCTCGACAATTTCAACAAAATCGTCACGATCGGTTCGTGAATGTTCATGAAAAAATCCCAGTGCATGCATTAATTCATGTGCAATTATACCTTTCGTAAAACACTTTCCAACTTCTAGTGAAACAGTTTGGTTTCCACCGGCTCGACCAACATATGATGAACAGCTAAAAGTTCAAAATACACGAGAAATCTCTGTATGGTTGATCAAAGTTCGATTTGGAAGTTAATGTTATAACTAAATTCCGCTCTAAGACTACTAACTTTTTCAGATATAATAAACCAAAGAGTTTAAAAATAGATGAACTTTAAATTGTTCAACTTTACTCAGTAATTTTTATTTTGCACTCTCTGGCATTAAAATTGCATTAATTTTATATCGTAAATTTATTAATTCTTTTTTTCTTTCAACTTAGACAAAGGGTAGTAGTGAAATAAAAAATTAGACTGATCTAGCAACAAACCCAAATGCGACATTTGTTTTGATATAAACATAGTCATAGTCGGTGTCCTGTTTGGGTACAAATCGAACACATGTTTTATCCTTATACTCATCAAAAGCTTGAGCAATTGCAGCTCGTTGTCTAAAATATTTGAGCAATGATGATAAGTTTACAAAACATTCTTTCTTCTCCTTTCTCAGTTCTCAAAATTAAATTTGAAAAAAAAAAAAACACAGAGAAATGCCTAAAACCAAAAGTCCATATCTTTGACGTCAGATTAGTTTTATGGGTACTTATGACAATCAGCAGAAGGGAAAAAAGTAAGCATAGAAAAAATTTTTCTTTTGAGCGTTTTTATTATCTAGGCATGAAAATTCAGCAAAAAAAAACCTAAAGAAAGAGGCTACTGTATATCTAAAAAATAAAATCGAGAACAAAACAGCAAGCTTATGGCAGTTCAAAAAAAAAAAGGTTATCAATATGCTTAGTTTGTCAATAATTTAGACACTGATAAGTGTTGGTGCAACTAAAATTTGACCATTTTTACGAGCAGAATAGAAAAGGGGAATGGATTTTTG